TGTCTGTGATTTGGTTTGATGTGTTACTTGTTTGTGTTCTACAACTGTTAATGTACTACAATTATATGTGGCCTTTTTAAACGTCTTGGATATTCAATTTTTAACAATTTATCATTTTAAATGTACTTTTTATTGACATGTTCTATATCTCAAGGCAGCACTGCCAATTGTAGATCTCTGGAACGAAATAAATATGTATGTATGTATTATTAATATACTGCATCTGACAGAATCTCCCAAATAGAGGTCAGAAGCACTTGAGCAAATTTTCCCAGGGTATGGTGATAATCAGTTCTCTAAGCTGCATCTGGAATGTACCCCACATTTCACATAATGGGGGGTGGAGTCCAGCTGGGTCCACTCAGCACATTGGCCACTGAATGGCCTATTGTACCTGCCCCGGGTGATTATGATGATGGAGAATTTGGTGGAATGAAGATTGGCAGGGGAAACCGAAGTATTCAGAGAAAATCTGCCCCAGCGCCACTTTGTCCATCACAAACCCCACTTGACCAGACCCAGGCCGCCACAGTGGGGAAGCCAATGACTAACCACTTGAGCTGTTGTGCGGCCATGTACCCCACTTTAGTCCCAGGCATGTTATTGACTGTCCTTATTGAGATATTTTGTTGTTTTTCTCACTTTCTCAAACTGATTGCCAGGATTGTATCTTGATAACAGGCCATGACCACCTCCTTCCTTCCACTACAAATTCACCTTTCATGATTATCTTCTGACGTCATTCAACACAGTGTTACTTTTATAGCAAACAGCATCATTGAATAACCACAGTAATCATCACATCTGGTCTTAACTCTTGCTTTAAACCTTATCTGTTGTAGGAAAAGCATCACCGTCGTATTTCAGTCGCAGAGAGTTACACACTGACAGGTCTATACCCAAACACATTATATTACGTGTGGCTGGCAGCGCGTTCGCAACGTGGGGAGGGAGCCACAACACCACCAATACCTGTCCGAACCAAGCAGTACGGTAAGACAGAATGGTCAACACCACGGGCGGTTTCATAGCAATCGCTCATCCATAACCTGGCTAGCACATGTTCGTAAGGCCCATCTACTGCAAATTGTGTATAAATATAGGTGCTTCAAAACCATACATACTTGCCTGCTTGCTTGATGTTTTAAATGTAAGTTGGGACCAGGTTTCAGAATATTCCATTCTTTTGTCTTCTGGGTTCTGTAATAATATATTAAAAAAATTGTAGAACACACTAAAAGAGGGAAGCTTAACCCTTTGCAAGCCATGAACCAATTACATTGGTTTGGGGTGCTTGCATTAAAACTTGTCCAGCCAAGAAGGTCAGCTAATTGGTAATCTGTTCAATATTTCTGTCAATAGTTGGCATCAAATGTAACATGAAAATGCTTAGAGTCAAAAACAAGCTTTTGAATAATTTATATTTGTGGTCATAAGGCCATTTGAGGAAGTATTATTGGTTTCCTGTGCAACTGCAGCTGTCCTCAAGCGGCCTTGATGTTGCTAGAGGGTAGTTCTGTGGCAGGCTTTGGCCGTCAGAGGCCTGGCCATTATCTTCCTAACTCTGGTGCTACTCAGACAGGTAGTTAGTTGTAGTTCAGTCCCTGTTGACCAGCCATTCTACCCTAAATGTGCCCAATTGAAAAGAAAAAACAAATTTCTAAGGTATCCTTGGACCTCATATGCCATCTGTGAGCAAGGAGATATGACTACATGCTCTTAAAGACAATATATAACCCTCAGTATGGTGTTCATTCATGAATATTATGGAGAAAATGTTGAAGGTTTAAAGTAAAGTTATTCCTGTGCCTAACTAAGTAAGCACTACGACATGAAGATGTGTGGGGGAGTGGATGTATAAATCCATGTATTCTTGAGCTTGTCATTAGTTGGAAAATGTTGAAGGTCGAGTGTGATAATAGAAATCATCAAGTCCACTGTAAGGGGCGGGGATGGTATGGCAGTCCTGGAGATAAAGGGTGTTGAGAATGTAATTTGCTTACTCACATGCCACAGTGTGTTTATAAGAAGCAGAATGTGTTGAAAGTTGAGCATTTTGAATAATAGTGCCATCTCTTAGCATATGTGTGAATTAAGTATAGTAGGAACCCAGTTTCTAGTAAATATTGTCCATGTGGGCTCATGGTATGTCCAGCAGAAGGTTCCTCATTTGCTTAAATATATTCAGTGGCAAGGAGGTTTCAAGATACTGTTAACAAGCATTTTTCATTAAAGTAACGACAGCTGATGACAAACCTGTTGACAGACCCACCTACCAGCAGAATTAGTACTGCCTGCTATCTAACCACCTACACAGATTAACTCTTCAGATATTTATTCTTATATATTTTTCTGCTAAAAATTAAGAGATGAAATATTGTCTATGCTATGAAGGAAACGTTAGTTATGTATGGTTTTGAGCACATATATTGACATCGACCAAGCCACGATGCTGTGCCTAAGGTAAGTAGCAGATGCAGAATTGACTGCTGCACATGACAGTGACATCACTAATATAGCACTTCACCATCTCACATCTCCATGTAAAGAGGCTCTACACTTAATCTCACAAGAGATGGAAAATAAAAGAGAAGCTTACAGTTTATCATACAAGCATTGTGCATAGTGCAACAAATTCCAGTAAGAATTTTGAAAAGCTGTTTTTTTATTATTATTATTATAATTGTATAATATATATAAAAATGTAACTGTTGTGTTGGTTTCCATCTGTTTCCTATTTCATACCATGTACTTAATAGAGGAGCTTTATTGTTTGCATCGTGTTGTCTGTCATGATCTGTGGTATTCTAGCTGTCAATACAACAATAGAGAACCCCAAAAGATGGTATACAATTTACTCCATGCTCATACAAATGTGTATGATACACGTGGCTATTAAGTGATGCATACGTACTGCAGTAGAGTTTTTGGATATGACTAAAATTGCATTCTTAATTGACTTTGTAATTGTTTAATTTAAATGTTGTTCCTTCTTTGAAGTGTTAGGCATTATCTATATGGCGATACTGACAAGTGAAGTGGGAGTTTCTGTGGCAAAGAATGGGAACAGATGGACCAATGAAGCATTGTGATCTGAGTTAAAGCCTGGCTACCAACTGCATAATAGTAAGAGAGTTACCCTTATACCCAGATAATAAAGGTTAACCCTTTACATGCCTTGAGTCAATCAGATCAGCTCATCATACTTGTGTTAAATCTACTACAGCCAAGAAATTGGCCTGTTGTTAATTGAATAGTCCATTGCTCTCAATTATGGCATCAAATATGGTGCTGCAGTGTTTAGAAGGAGGAATAGGCTTTCACATTATCTGTACCTCCAGTCATCTGAAGGTCATCCAAGGAAGTATTATTGGTTCTTCTGTGTGACTGCATTTTCCCCAAACATCCATGGTGTTTCTAGTACGTCTGTGAAGGAGCTTGGAAGTGAAAGGATTAAAGGAAAAGAAAAGATAATAATTATAAAGGTTGACATGATAAATAAGAAGCTATATGTATATGAAACCTTAAAATTTCCATTTTTAATGTATAGTCACATGCTGTAATTATCACAGATGTATATTTATTTCATATAGAAGGTTATAAAATTATCATATATATTTTTTGCTGTTCAAAATTCTTACTGGTTCACAGCATATATAACATTTAGCACCGTAGACAATACATTACGTAAAATACCTCCCTCACCACAGTCTTGCCACCATAACTACAAAAAAAGTGTATGCCTACACCCACCTTTTACCACCCATGTCACTTTCACTGTATTGCCAGTTTTACTAGCCACCCAGATTGATTGATTGATTGATTGCTGTGTAATACTCACTGTTTGTCTGTATCTGTAAACATCACCAAGCATTGCATGCTTCACATACTGGAATGTTTGATATATATTGATTTTTTTAATTATTATTATTATTCAATGGCTTAATTTTTCACTGTTACAGCACAGCCTTGTGTATTAACACCACTGCACCAGTTTGCATCGTTTTAATTGTGCATTGTGTGGGCACCATACAGTCGTATATTATATAAAGTAATAATTTTATTTATTACTGTATTCTCACAGCACTGCCACTATTGTCACCAAAGTTTCGTATTAGTGTTTGTGAGAGTGTGTGTGCGTGCGTGTGAGATGCACATCTAGAAGCAAACTAATCACGTTTCTCCTTATCAGAAATTTAAAATAAAGTGAGCAAAACTATTACTCAAAAATTTTTTATAACAGTCTGCCTTACGTACCATAACCTATTTTTTTGGTACGCAGTACTTTTTTATATGTATTCGCCTTTGCTCTCCACGTTGGGTTGTACGTATTACATCGGTCGGTGAAAATCAATGACTAATTAGTACATATTGCTAATAGAGAGACATAAATCAATATTGTTATTGTTATGTGTTGGTAACATTGCTCTTGAATTACACAATTTCACTGTTATTAATGTTTGTCATCTACATAAGATATATCATATATACATAATTAGCATATTGTTTTCCATATCTGATGGACTTAAGGATTGAATCACCTCTATATTCAGTTTATTTCTGTAATTTTTCATTGAAAATTTATTTTACATTTTTGTTGCTGTATTATACAGAAGAACCCCATGTAATATTCCTCAATTTAAAATTTCCTGTCATTGAACATGCTATTTCAGTGATCCCAAGTCAATAATCTTAATGTTAAATATCCTAATTTAGTGCTGAAATCTTTTGCTCCCCTAAATGAAATCTGAAGTGGGGGCTTCTTTGTGTTTCTGTTATGTGTAATTTAGAGCTAGTGAGTACAGAACACAGAAATAACAATACTGGCCTGCCTCTCTTCATTTACATGTTATACTACTAAAACAGGAAACATCACACTGCTACCTTAAGACTGATTTAGTTTTATTCTGTTCAGTATTTTCTTCTTCCCTTGTCCCTTTTGGCTATGTAGTGACTGTACATTACCCTTTCCTTTTTTGCACTCTGCATATTTACACAAGTGGACACCGAAAATGGGGCTACCTCTCGGTTGACAAGGTCTGTGGTTTGTGTCAGGAGCATTTATTCCATGGTCTTGATGCTGGAATTTATTAGAAAACACATGTCCAGACCTTATGTTCCTTTTTGTTCCCTAGGAAATTTTAAGTAACATAAATATGTCTGCATTTTAAGCAGATAGGTGATATCTGATGCTCCGGTTGTTTGTCCACTGTTTATCTTCTTATAAGATTGAGGTCTTCATGGGAGTGACCATGATGTGACGATGCTCTGCAGTTTGCCAGATTGTTACTGACACTTCAGAGTAACATACGCTCTCTGTCTTCAGGATGGAAGCCCCTACCCTGTAAATGGAGTCAGGGTTCTTCCAGAACATCATTCTGTACCGTACCGGAAAGTGTCACATCCCAAAAAATAATAATCTTTGTCTGTTTGTTTAATTTACAAGATTGTATCATCTGTTGCTGAGTGACTTGTGGCTTCTCTGGAAAAACTTAAGTTACTTAGTCTCATGTTGAGGTGATGTAAAATTGACATGATTTTTATGTAATTTAATGATGCAACTTCAGTTGGTGAAGTTATGAAGTGTCAAATGAAATGGGGAAGTACTGAATGGTATATAAATAAGGAGTTGAAATTAGATGATCATTACCTATTTTAAGATAGTCACCCAGAATTAACTTTAAGGGACTGAGGTAAACCACAAAAATCCTCTGTTGTGGTAGTTGGTGACTCTTTTGGAGTTTGAACCATGTATTTTCCCAGTGCCCACCTAACACGAATGTCATGATCAAGTGGTAGCATTCCTGCTTTATACTGTTGAAGTCCCAAGACCTAATGTGAACTAGGTTTGTCTGGCTTATGACAGAGACTAGTAGTGGGCTGTTATGTATGTGGTAATGAACCTTTGGGTTGTGTGAAAGGTCAAGAATTTTTTGACTAGTTAAGAAACTGTTAACTCTGCTTCTTCATATAGTTGGATTCCATAAAAATTGAAGATATGGCAGTCCAACGGGAAATGAATTGTACAAGAATTGCATCTGCTTAACAAATCCAGTATCAAAAACCATGGAATGAATTTCACTGAACACCAAATCATTATCAAACTATTACAGTGCTTCACCTGATTGAATCATTGCGTGAAAGAGATTTGTTTCCAAGTCGAGTTTTGATGAGACATGGATAGTATTTGGAAATTTAGGGATGCATAGATTATGCTCTGTATATTTCAGGTTGTGGTTAATTGGTGCTAGAAAGTTCTTCATGTGGGTTGGAATTTATTAACTTTTGACTTGTCATCTTGTAAGTTCCAACATTCTTGCAGATTATAATAGTTGTTATGGGATTTATTTACATCTGTTCCAGTTGAATTTGTCTCTTCTTAGATGTATGTCTTTTGTTTACATTTACAGTAATATATTGACTTTGTTTGTACTTATCTTTGTTTCATTTTGCAGTAATTCCTTTTTGAGGCTAGTTTATCACCAAACCAAACAAAAAATAGATTATGAGTCCCTATCATAGCAACTGACAGATAGATTGCAAGGTTTTAGCTTTGGTTTAGGTGTATGATTTTGAATTTAAAAGATTCACAATTCAAATTTCTTTCAGCTGTTCACAGTTTGTACATCTTTAGATTAAGGAATTTGTTCAGTGCTTTAATTTCTTTTTAGATTTGAGGATTTAAAAGCGATTAGTAATTAAGGTTATGGTCTTCTGGAAAATTATTCTTTGTAGTTTGGAAGATAGGTGCCAGTGTTCTGTGGGACCTATTGCCTTCTTCAGGGTAGGATATTTCAAAGCCTATTGATTACTGCCCTCAAGGTCCCCTTTCCTTCTTCCTGTTCTCTTTTCTGTACTTCCTTTCCTTTCTTTCTCCCTGGCTGTACAATCCTTGAACAGCACTAGACCTCCATTATAATGATAGATGCCCATTCTTCTCTGTTTTCCTTTTTCTCCCCCTATTTCTCCCTGTATTTCTTACTTGTATTTGTTTTATTCTCTTCCTTCAATCACCTTCTTTCTGCATACCCTTCATAATTCTTTCCCCATTTACATCTGCCCTTTGGAAACAGTACTTTGCAGGGTCATTATTACTGTTGATTCACTCCTAGTTCCATTCTGTTTCCCCCTCTGTGTGACTTGCTGCCATCTGCCATGAAGATGGTACCTTACTGTCCAACTGGAGTTCCTACATAGTGTGGGGATATGGGCATCAGGAATGATAGACATTGCTAACTTTGCTTCCTAAGATAGGACATAAAGTAACTGACAGAAACCAAGTTTAAGGTCCAACCATCAGGCCCATTATACCAGAAGATATAAAATCCCCTAGGCAAGATTCCCATGACAGTGACGATGATGTTCACTGTCTTCTGTTATGTGATTCCATATAGTCTTTTAGATCATTAACAGTGATTTAGAGGAACCTCTACACTCTCTGTCTTTTACCATGAATATGGAGGCAGCAGTTTCCTCCAGAACATTGGTGGCATTATACCAGATTACATAAAGTCACATACCAGAGGATGGTAATCTTTAAAGTCCTCTGTTCCCAGGTAGTAAAGGTTAGTCACAATATCTCTTGATGGAGATGTGTAATCAGTCACACCAGTTCAAGAGATTGTGTTACCAATTTTTGAGAAGGCTATGTGGGCCATTCTGGAGTACTATGAAGAGAGAGAACCTGTTTCTTGTGTCAAGAGTCAAACCCAACCATTCAGTCTATAACCAGTCAATTTTTACTGAGTTCATTAATGCAAAACAATATAGAACAAGTTTCTGAATCCATTTGCTTTTCTCACTGTGCCTTCTACCTCCTAATTCTGTCACCCAAAACTTGCCTAAAGCTTGTACCAGGAATGAAAGGGCAGTCAATGAGGTTAATGAGGTTATCTTAGGGCTTACTGTCATCATTCTCATACTTGAATTTGGCAATGTATAGATTTGTTGGTTACCTGTCATCACCATCAAGACTTGTACTTCTGCATTGGATAGGTGTATTACTTTCTTGCCATCACAAGACAGGATTGTTTTTATCATATTTGTCATCATTTGCATGGTAGATAGTTTCTTATCATCATTTACAAGACTGGATATTTTTGCCACTTGTCATCATTTCAAGATGATATTTTTGTTGCTTGTCATCATTCACAAGACTTGTATTTGATCAGTGGATAAGTCTGTCACTTTCTTCTCATCTTGAACAGAATTTGCCTAAGGAAATGAATAATCTTTGTGAAATATGAACCAAAATTGTGATCTCTTAAAAAAGACTTGCATCTGGGCAGTGGTTAGGTTAGGATTTTCTCGTGGTCAGGATACACTTGGGTTGTGTTGAAATGTGTGGTGTCCCTCCCGCCCCAACTGTAGTGCCCGGGGCACCCCCCCAGAACGTGACTGGGGAAGCAGTGGGTCCAACATCGATCCGTGTGTCATGGGATCCACCACCTGCAGAGCGCAGCAATGGTCGCATCGTGTACTACAAGCTGCAGGTCGTGGAGAATGGGCGTTCGGACTCTGAGGCTGCTGTGATCACCCTGAATGCAACGTCATTCGTGCTGGATGAACTCAAGAGGTGGACAGAATATCGCATCTGGGTGCTGGCAGGCACTAGCGTCGGTGATGGGCCACCCAGTTTTCCCATCACAGTGCGTACTCATGAGGACGGTACGTACATCATCAAACAACATCCCCCCGGGCTGAGGGTTGCAGTGTGGGAAGGGCAAGGGCAAACAGCGTTGCAGTGCACCACATACCCCATCTTACACAACACAGTCTGATTTGTTTCAGTGCAGAAAGTAATGTGTTGAAAAGGCACGAAATCAGCAACTACTACTGATTAGTAATGATTTCATTGTCATTTCATTCCATCAAACATATTAAGAGTATATCTCTTCCTTTTGTTCTAAATATTCTTCATAGAATCATTACTTGACAGTGAATAAATTTGGATGAAGGTTTTGTTCTAAGAAAACAGTCATTACATGTTTTACTAATAATAGTCTTACTCAGTGTTTTTACTTCCCACCCAAAAAAACACAATTGTGAGTCCACTAATGAGAAGATCTTCTCATGGTCGAAACATGCTGCCAGGTGTGATATTTGATGACTTTGCCAGTATTCATCAGCTGTTTGCTGTCATGTGTATTCACACATTTTGGCTCATAAAGTGTTGGTTGCTTCCCAAAGTCCGATGGCTCTGTAAGCAAACTGTAGTTTACTGTCCTTGGATTCTTGTAACATTTCTTCAGAAATATACTTTCTCATAAAGTTTTGTTAAAATGCATAAAAGAGTTGGTTCATTCTGTTTCTGATATTTAAAAATATTATCCTGCTGATTATAATAAATTACCTATATGAGAGTGTTCATTTGGATTGTATGTTATTTATAAATACTTATTATCTAATGGAAGAAAGGATACATTTTAAAAGGTTCACCATTTAAGGCACTAATGGGTTTTAAGTACCTCATCCTTTTGATTGTTACTGATGTATTCTGTCTCTTCATGGATGAATTCTGTCAGCTGTATGGTGCAATGAATAAACAATACTTGTATTAATTGATTAATCCATTTTTAAAGTTGCCTCAGCTACTTTGGTTATTATAATTGTAAAACTTGACAGTTAAAAATGTACCAGAAGAAAATCTACATAAATCTTCTGAATGCTGATAAAAGCTAAAGCTAAAGCATATTCTAATAAAGTGTTTATTAAAAGCTTCTATACTCACTATATAGGTTGTTGGTTAAATAAAATTGTATTGAAATAATTTCAGTAAATTGTTCTAAACTTCTTTTTAAATATGCGTATAAAATTGGGGTGGCCTGGTTTAAGACATGACAGTCATTTCTAAGAGAGAAGATTTACATCAGTTACAATTATTTATTGTCTTCAAACATGACTATTATTTTGGAAACTGTTCATGACTTGAGTTTTTTCAAATATACTCTTTCTGTCATCAGATGTAAGGGAGGAAATATTTCTACTCAGTTGGGCCTATTAGGAAGAGTTACTCTCAAACACTGCATCAGTGGAGTAGGTATCCCTTCTTACTTGAACTTCATGACAGAGACAGGTCCAGTTTCGGAAACATCGTATGACAGAAAGCTAAAGACAGAGGACAGTGTCCAAAGTAACAATAATGTTTTTTGTTAACTCGCCATCAGCAGAAAAATCTAGACTTGCTATCTTTGTTTGATGGAATTGAAAAACTGACATATGTTTGTTAACAATAATTTTAAAACATTGTTCATTATTTATGAACTCACTAAATGTTGAAAATTACATAATATAAAGTTCCACTGTGTTCATGGGGTGCATCTGTTCTGTATGACCTACAGGAAGAGTTTCTTCTGGCAGTGTGTTTGTTCTTGATTTTCAGTTATTGGTCTAAATTGTTATTCTCCTATATCCAAAAAATTGTGTCTTATAATTCTCTGGAATTCTATGTGGTGTTATTGCTTATTCTTGGGGATGTAGAATTAAATATATCAGGAGTCATAGAACGAAGCAATTTTGAAAGTCTTAAGACCCAGTCCAACATTACTGCCCCTCACCCATTTTGTTGTTCCCACATTCATATCACATTTGTGTTAAATTCCCTTCAAATTTCTCCTCTATTATATCCTGAACCATTAGACATTCATTTCTCCTGTTACCACAACAGTGGAGTAAATATACAACACACAGTTTAATGATGCTGTCAACTCAACATTAACTAGAATTTTTTGAACAGAATGTAGTAAGGTTTTTGTGAAGCAATTTAATGGATTTTTGACTATAGAAGTGAATATATTTTTGGGTATTAAAAAGTCATCTTTTTTGTCAGCATATGCAAATGATTTTTTGAAATGTTATTAATATTTTTTGTGTGTGTGAGTGTATGATAATAACAGAGTTAGCTATAATTTTTGTCTTTTGTTGAAGAAGAAGAAGAAGAAGGAGATTGAAAAAGAAAATAATTATTACTAATATGCTAATTTGTGTTTCTGTTTTTCTCCCCTCACGAAAGCATTTCCAGCGGCCAATGATGGGGAGAGGTTTTGAACCGTCAGTTTCTATGGCTTGTTCTATTTTTATATACGTATACTGTCAGTCCTGTTTGGAACCCCCAACCCCTTTCACTTGGTTTCAAGATGAAACTTCTTTAAATCACTAACCCCCCCTTGCCCCCCCCCCAATAATTGTTGTTTTTTTGTAAATGTTTAGTAATGAGCATTCACTCTCACATATGCCATGACTTGGATTTGCCTATCACCAGCACACATTTATATAATCTCGTGAATGTTTTTTGGAAAGAAAATTTTTACACACAGCACCTTTATTAATAAGTTTTATTATTTACTTTTCAGTTTTGGATTTTTTCCTTGTTTTCTTTTGTTATTAATAACTGCACCACTTGTAAATTTAGATTCACATTTTCTTGCATGCAAAGTTATTTCTGTTCCTGTCACAAGAACCCTGCCAACTCAACCACTTGCTGCTTCCTGTTCCAAGTCCTGTTTCTGAGGTCTTCACTTAGGCAGAGCACCGTGCTAATTCACACTTAGTCACTCAGCAGCTGGCACTTTATTTCACTGTGGTTAATTCTGCACTTGTGATTTGTGTTAATGCTATGTCTGTATGTGCGTGGGCGTGTGCGTGATGAAACCTGAGCATTAGTACTTGCCATCCTCAAACTTTGTCTTCTGTCTTTACCTGCCAGAAATTCTCACAGTGGTGACTGTGAAGAGTATATCGCCTTTGAGATGTAACACCAAGTAGCCCAGTAGAAGTTCAGTGACGTTTCGGGATAATATACAGGCTTTATCTTCAAGTTGAAAGACTACCAAGCCAGCAATTAGCAAAACACTGGCAGCAAAACTACCTGTTTTGGCTTATTCTTCAACTCCGAAGATGAAGGCTGTATTTTTCTCTGAAACAGTGGTGAACCTCTGTCAGACTACATGGCATAACATTCCAAGAAGATATATCTCTTCAAGTCAATGTCATTTTGCCAGTTTTAGTGGAATGTTGGTATTCTGCTTCTTCATATGTTCTCCTACTTATGCTGCTAGTCTTTGTGTCTCAGGTTTGGATGATAATGTTGTTTACATGTTGCATCATGACAGCTCAATTTAATGTCATTAAACAGGATTTAGTTTACTGATGGTTTTGAAGAGGAGGAAGAGCAAACCTTGCAAGTAGCAGCCACAGTTAAACTCTGTGATGTGACATCATATAGTTTGGTAGAGAGGTACCAACCTGCTGCCTCTGTCTGTGTGGTGATGTGAATAGTTAAACAATATTAGCTTCCTAACCTAACACATGAAAACTAGCAGCGTAACTGTGAGAGCAACATATGCAAAGCAAAACACTGAGGTTCCACTAAAACTGCACAAATTGATGATGGTTCCTTTTGCTCTAGCTTACATGGCATCACATTTCAGAGAACAGTAATTGTCACTATACTTATATGTCAAGTAGCTGTGTTAAAATGCACTTGTTGTATGATAAAAAGAATATTGCAGTTTAATGAAGACTGTTCCATATCAGCCTTCATGGTTAAGCAAGGTTGCTTTTTGATCTGTATTCAACGTTTCAGTGAACATCACAGTTTTCGAATTTAAGGTTCTCACAGCAGTGACTGCGAAGAGTCTTCTGGGTTGGAACACCTTGTAGTTTAGACAGAGCCCAACGCTTCAGCGGAACACATCACCTCCGTCTTCAGGGTTGAAGTGTAAACCAAGCAAGAAACAAACGGAACCTGGCATCAAACTTTTTGCTTGTTTACCCTTTTACCCGGAAGTTGGAAGTGTTATATTTCTCTGAAATTTTGGGCTGTCTCCAAACAACATGATGTTACAACCCATAAGACCATACTCTTTATCCTAATTAACATTTTTAAGATAAATGTCTTGTATAGTCACTGGGTTCGTGTGTAAATATCTGGGACAGTGGGTGGTATATGATTGGGCTAGTTATCCAATCCAGACATTAACCAGTGAGGATTTTCAAGATGCTTGTTTCCCAAATTAATTTGTCAGCATTTGCATTGATGTACAGAAATGGGATGGGATTTGAGGTTCTCACAAGTGTGACTGTGACACTATATAGTCTTGTAGAAGTTTAGCTAGTCAGCTGACTCTTCAGCACCAGAGTGCAGACACTTCCTACCTCCAGAACTCCAGTAATCTTCACTAGACTGCATGACATTGTATTCAGTAAACTGCGATGTTCGTCAAAACAGGTAACATGACTTGAGCTCAAAAAGCAACCAATATGGTGTGTCATGGTTGTAAACAATGTAAGAGTTATGATGAAAACAAAGTAACGATGGCAATTACTAATGCTTATAATAAACACTTTTTCACTTTGCACTGCAATGTATGAGAAATCATTAGTAATGTTTTAGAAAGTCCAGAAGTTTGCATATACACTTCTTTTAACAGTTTACTCGTGTTGTGAGTTATACACACACACAAAAGAGAAAGAGAACACTCCAGTACAGTCTATTTTAAAAGTCTGAAACATATTTTATGTTGGTGCAATGATATAGTTTGATTAATTAAATAGAGTAAAATTGCACATTTTGATTAATACCTTTCAGACTTCCAAAACAGACTGTATTTACCCTTCTGTGCACCATTGTATGTAGTTGTGTCTGTAGATTGTCTACACATTTTACA